CGTGTTTTTGGTTGTTTGTGTTACAGCTCTACATCCTCCAAAAACCGAAATAAGTTTCAGCCAAGAGCAAAGGCCTGTGTGTTCCTTGGATATCCATCAGGAGTCAAAGGTTACAGACTTTTAGATTTGGAGTCCAATAGTATTCATGTATCTCGGAATGTAGTCTTCCATGAAGATATTTTTCCATTTGCTAAAGAGGATTCTCCTACTCTACCTGATTTCTTCACCAGCAATGATGTATCTACAGAAGGTATCTCTGTTGTTCCTACACCTTCTATTCCTGTAGTTGTGAGTACATCTCCTACAGTTGTGAATGAGGGTACCAACAGTGTATCTCCTATAGCTACTACTGTTCCTCCAGTGAAAGAGACTCGGAGAGTTAGTAAGCCACCTGACTATCTTAATGACTACTATTGTAACCTGTCGTCTTCTGGAATTGAATATCCATTGGCCAATTTTATGAGCTATGATGGTTTATCAGCGTCAAAAAGAGCATATGTCTGCTCTGTCACAAAGTATGCAGAGCCTACTTCGTTTGCTCAAGCTAAAAAATGTAATGATTGGTTGAAAGCTATGAATGCAGAATTACAAGCTTTAGAAGGAACAGCGACTTGGAAGATCTGTTCTTTGCCAGAAAATAAACATGCCATTGGTTGTCGCTGGGTTTACAAAGTGAAGTTAAATGCAGATGGAAGTTTAGAGCGTTACAAAGCTCGTTTAGTTGCCAAGGGCTACACTCAACAAGAAGGCGTTGATTTTGTCGATACTTTCTCACCTGTAGCTAAGATGACAACGGTTAAGACTTTGTTGGCGGTAGCAGCAGCAAAGAAATGGAGTTTACACCAACTTGATGTCTCCAATGCCTTTTTAAATGGGGACCTTGACGAAGAAATCTACATGACATTACCCCCAGGCTATACATCTAAGGAAGGTGAAGCTCTACCACCTAATGCTGTCTGTAAATTACAAAAATCTCTTTATGGATTGAAGCAGGCCTCAAGGCAGTGGTTTCTGAAATTCAGTTCCACATTAATGTCCTTAGGTTTTCAGAAATCACAGGCTGATCATACTCTTTTTGTCAGAAATGTGAATGGAAGGTATGTTGCAGTTCTTGTGTATGTCGATGATATCATTATTGCAAGTAATGATGATGATGAAGTAGTTCAGTTGAAAGAAGATTTACAAAAAGCTTTTAAGCTAAGAGATCTCGGTCCTATTCAGTATTTTCTGGGTTTGGAGATAGCCCGTAATAGCTCAGGCATTTCTCTTTGTCAAAGGAAATATGCCTTGGGTTTACTAGAAGAGACTGGTCTGCTTGCTTGTAAACCGTCTAGTATTCCAATGGATCCAAGTATTAAACTTGTTTCAGATGGTGATGAACCAATGATGGACGATCCTGCAGCTTATAGGAGATTGGTTGGGAAAATGATGTATCTCACCATCACTAGACCTGACATTACCTATGCGGTTAACAAGCTTTGCCAGTTTACCTCAGCACCTAAGAATTCACATATGAAGGCGGCTCAGAAGGTTCTCCATTATGTGAAAGGTACTGTGGGAAATGGTCTTTTTTATTCTGCAGACTGTGATTTGGTTCTTCAAGCTTATACAGATGCAGATTGGGCATCTTGTCTTGATTCTAGACGGTCTACATCTGGCTTTTGTATGTTCTTGGGGACCTCCTTAATCTCCTGGAAATCCAAAAAGCAACAGACTGCTTCACATTCATCTGCAGAGTCAGAATACAGAGCAATGGAGTTTGCTGTTCGGGAGGTTGCTTGGCTTGTCAACTTGTTAAAAGAGTTTCATGCACCTCAAACAAAATCTGTGGCTTTCTTTTGCGATTCAACAGCTGCGATTCACATTGCCAATAATGCTGTCTTCCATGAACGCACAAAGCACGTTGAGCTAGACTGCCACATTGTTCGTGACAAGGTAATAAGCGGTTTGATCAAGACATTACATGTCAAGACCGATCAACAGCTTGCTGATGTTTTCACAAAACCTTTATTCCCTACTCAGTTTAATGCTCTTGTTAGCAAGATGTCACTTAAATCCATTTACTTGCCATCTTGAGGGAGGGTATTAGAGTTTGGTTTATGATAAACCATAAATGATTTGGTTATTGTGATCTGGTATTGATAAACCAGAGTAAACCGGATCTTAGTTCTCATTGTATAAAACGAATGTAAACAGAACAACGTTCATTAATGAGAATAACAGAATTTCTTGATTTTCTCTCCAACAAACTTTCTTCTAACATTTTCTTAACTAAGAAAAAAAGTAAATCAAATGCAAATGAAAGAAAGCAAAACTAGCTATCAAACAATTAAGCAATAAGATTAAAAGTATTAGGCATATATGTGGGAAAACGGTCTATTTCCCCACGAGAAATATGATATCATAACAGATAAAGCCCAAACTTTAACTCCGGTCTAGATGTCTCTGAAACAATACTTCTCGATCTATATCTCTCCAAATCGATAGTTTTAATCTTATATCTCCCTAAAATAATAGTTCTCATCTAATTATCCATAGCCATTGGTTTTGTTTGGTTTAATGTTGGTTTAACCAATTTACAAAGATAATAAACCAGATTAAACCTAATCAAAACCCGATTACAACTGATTCCCTAATAACCCGACTATAAACCAATTCTCTAATAAACCCGATTTCAATCCGTTATGGGGATCATCATGTTCGTCATCATGAACCAGATCGGGATCGAAAGATGATTTGAGTTTCCCGGTTTGATTCTTTTTCCTTTTTTTTTGTGAAATTGGGTTGGAATCTGGAGATCTGGATCTTGAAAAAGGTTGAAACTTTACGTGGTGTTGATTTGTTCTTGATGAACTGATTTTGATTTGGTGATTGGTTAGATTCGGAAATTTGAATAATTACATGTATCCAGAGGATGATGATGATGTCTCTGAGAATAATAAGGTTGGAATTGGTAAAAGACCTTTGGAGGTTGTTGGTGAGATTAGACAGACCAAATCACTTAAATTAATGGGTTTTTCGATTACTTATGATAGCGATTCATCTTACTATTCATTGAGTGGTGGGGAGGTGCAAGCAGATGCTACAATTGGTGATGGCTCATCATCGAGGTAGGAGCAAGATGAATCGGTACCAATCTTCCTCCAAGGATCGAAATCTCTTCCTGATTTTAGACCCATCGTTAGGATCCGTCTCTGCCATTTTCTTCTTCTACTTCAATCTTCTCTCTCTTAAAACTTCCAAATCGTCTTCGTCAAGCTTTTCCAGACACGCGATCTCGTCGTCTAGCTTATCTTCCATAGCTTTCGCTACCGTCAGAACTTGTTTCTCCAGAATCTTCATTCGTCATCACAAAAAAAAAAAAAAAAAGTTACATAAAAAATCATCAATCGATGAAAAATCATCAATCGATCAATTGATGACGACGATAATGAGAAGAAGCATAACGATAGATCTTTGTTTCGTCGTTTTAGGTTAATTTTATTCTATTCTTTGCTTATAATGGTTCGGTGAAGAAGAAGAAAAAATTAGATGACTTATGGTTGGGTTTTAGATTGGATCGGGTTTTAATTTTGGTTTAATTGATTTTTGTGGTTTTCTATCGGGTTTATTTTGTAAACCGATTAAATCCAGTTCCGTGGGGTTTTAGCTATCGAACTATTGATTCGGGGATATTAAGCTATGAAACTTTCAATTGGGGAGAAAATAAGAATAGAACTTTGATTTTATGGACATCTGGACCGGAGTTAAAGTTTGGGCTCTATCTGTTATGATGTCATACTTCTCGTGGGGAAATAGACCGTTTTTCCCATATATGTTGTATAGATATAGTTGAAAGTATCCACAGTGATTCAGGTATGCATAAGCAAATATATTATAAGATAAAGCATTAAAAATTGTTCTTGAACTTAAACCACTATGATCAAATTAACATTCTCTCGAAAAATCAATATCTATACAAGATATTATATAAAACGCTAAGTTGTTGGTTAAATTCAGGAGAACAATCATGCATATAACTCAAGTTCGATATGTTCATAAAACATCTTATTATTAGTTTTCGTTGGCTATAAATGCTTTGAATCCAGGACCGTCCCAACATAAAAAGGGACTTCAATTTTTTTGAAAAAGTTTTTTTGGCTTTTTATGTATTTACTTTTAGCAAAATAAATATTTTTTTTCAAAATTTAAATTATTTTTTACTTTAAAAACTAAAACTTATATTTTTAATCAAATTTTCGGATTTTATATTTTTTCTAAAGATTTGGATCCTATTTATCTGTATTTAAAAAATTATTTGGACCTTTTTGTGTATATATTTTTATAAATTCTGTCCACTCCTTGTGAGCTATTGCCCTTCTGCCTACTCTCTTTTAACCGGACCTGTTCGCAAATGGTTGCCAGGTAGCAAGTATATCCGAAAATGATCTAGTAGCTTAAAAAAAAAAAAATATGAGAACGTTTTATAAAAACACAAATTTTAGTTTACGCTACTGATTAATAAAATCTTACTTTTACACATAAAAATAGTTAAAAAAAGAGTGAATTAGCTGTATGCTAATTATTTGAAAAATAATTAGCTGTGGTATAGTGTATTTTTTTTCTTTGCAAAACAAGAGAGAGAAATCTTTGATTTAAAAAAAGTCTGACGAAAATACCCTTGAAATAAAATGCGGGAGTTTTCCCTCTGAGAATTTCGTAGGGGACACAGGGATATCATGCAATATTCGGTGGGCCCCCACTTATTTAATGCTGCGCAGAGACTGTGTGTTGCAACCCTGATACGTATCGTGATATATATGCGTTTATCCGATACACGGTAATCGCGGCGGACCCTACAGACGTATCGAGCTTGGCAATTCTCTCTACCCCAAGTTGCTACAAGAGTAGCATTAAATGCAAAAGTAATTATGGCAAAAACAAGAAATCACAGCTACGAGATATCTTACCACGATATCTTTCCCCCATCCCATTATAGGCTTTCGTGTCGTGATATATATGTTCGTATCACGTTATACGTTTACACACTGTAGCACGAAAGATAGCCATCGAGCTCCGTGCGTTGCTCTGCACAATGCATGTATGCCCAGTACAGTGTAAAAAATTTAATGATATGTAATGATGACCCCTTGCTACTTGAGGCATTATCTCGATATCTTACGAGATACACAACTTGAGCATTGACCTTCTATATAAAGAAGTAGCCACCACCGGCATTTCCATATCGCACCAAACCAGAAAAAACTATTCCTTTTCTGCATTAACTCTTCGATTTGGCCCAGAAAAAAACAGAGCTCTTCATTTACTCTTCGGTTTGGTAAGATTAACTAAAAACCGTTAATTATGTCTGATGTCTCATTTAATGCTAAGAAAAACATTTGTAACTTACAAAAGCTGTTATTCAAATTTTGCAGGTACTATGGTTCTGATACGGGAGTTGGAACATCGAGTTGTGGCGGTGCAGATTGGCCACTGGGAACGTGATGGTATCGGGAAATGGAGGTTCGACCAAGATCCGAATGAGAGACAACGCAACATGAGGCTCCGTGAAGGCGATGGCATAGATACGATCACCACTATGCTAAAACAGGAGTACAACATCAGCGACGTGGAGACCCGCCTAAAGCTGACTTTCCGTTGGCCATCGTGGATGCTTCTAGTCGATGACGGGACGACTAGACCTCAGACCATCAAGACGGACAACGATATGGACCTCTTCCTGTCCATGAAAGTCGATGTCGCTGACCTCATTCTGTTCGTAACCAGAAAGAACGACGCCGGAGTTGTAACGGAATCACCTACGCTCTCCAACAGTGCGGGTTCGTCGTCCCATCCTCAATCAGCGACATTGATACACGAAGATTACGTCGTTGTTGAACTTCCATCTTCAGAATCGGATGATGACTTTGGTGATAGCAAGAGACCCGACCCCTGGAACGAGAGGCTTGATGGTTTGATGAGTAAAAAATCTCCAACCTAGAGGTTGGCTCCGCCTCAACAGTTCCCACCTACGCGGACGAAGAGAACACTTTCTTTGGCGTAGACTTATCGATGGGGGTATTTGGCAGGGACGCAGCTCCGGTTCTGGACAACAACATAGATGGAGGTAATGACTTCGTTATATATATGTATGTCCTGCTATTTTAGTGTCGTAATATCCTGCTATCTAAAACTATAGTTATTTATCTAAACGTATATCTTGTTATCATTATTTATATCCGGTTATATACGTACATATCTTGCTATAAATATTAATAACTCCTCGATTTGTGACGTTATAAGATGTTATATATGAATTTTTTTCTCAACTTGATGAAAATTCATATGTGTCTTACCAGGAAACACAGTTCTCGACCAAGCTATAGACGATGCAACGTACGAGGGAGATGACATATTCGTGGGTCGGGTTTATAAAAACAAGGAGGACTTCAAGTTCAAAATGGTCGTCCATGCACTTCAAAGGAAGTTCCATTTTCGTCACACCCGGTCAGACAAGAAAGTGGTCCTCCTCAACTGTGTTGCCGACAGCTGCCCCTGGCGGGTGTATGTCGTCCGACTTGAAGACTCGGACAACTACCAAATCCGTAGTGCTTGTCTGGAACACACTTGCAGCGTTGAAGCCCGTAGTAACTACCACAAACAAGCTTCCGCCAGAGTTGTAGGTGAGTTCATGAGGTCGCAATACATGGGTGCTGGGACCGGACCAAGACCAGGGGAGGTTTAAAGGATCTGTTTAAATAACCACCGCGTCCCAATCTCATATTGGAAAGCTTGGAGAGCTAGGAGGATTGCTATTGACGGGGCAAGAGGTTCAATGGGCAATAGCTACTCTCTTCTACCGGCATACTTGCATGCTCTTAAGGCTGCCAACCCTGAGACATTAACTGCACTGGAAACAACTGTGGATGAGTTGGGAAACCAAAGGTTTAAGTACCTCTTCTTCGCCCTAGCTGCCTCGATAAACAGCCTCAAGTTCATGCGCAAGGTAATAGTCAAAGACACATATACCCTGACATGTTTGTTTATGTCACGTCATAGTGAAGATTATCTAAAGTTTTTTTCTTTGCTTGAAACCATAAAAATGTGTAGACCAGGTTATAGTCATAGACGGTGCGCATCTGAGAGGAAATTACGGTGGTTGCGTGATCACAGCGAGCGCCCAAGATGGAAACTTTCAAATTTTCCCGGTGGCTTTTGGAATCGTCGACAGTGAAAACGATAGGGCTTGGGAGTGGTTCCTGACAATGTTAAGGCAAATATTACCCAATGATCCAACTGTTACTTCGTCTCAGACAGGCATTCTTCCATATACTCGTCTCTCAGGAAGGTATACGACATTTCTGGGTATATCATAATATATGGAAAAATAGCAAGCGATAACCCTATATACCTTGCTAACATGGCTATTATCTTTTGTTTATGTCCTAGGTTTTCCCAAATGCAGCACACGCGGCATGCGTAGTCCACTTGCAACGTAATATCTCAAGCATTTTCAAGGCGAAGACTCTTTCTTTCTTGGTGTCGAGGGCCGCACGGGCATACCGTATCACGGAATTCCACCTAGTGTTTGGAGAAATTTGCCGGGTATCCCCTGAATGTGGAGCATATCTCAAGTCAATCGGGTTTGGCCACTGGGCAAGATCCTACTTCGTTGGAGAACGCTATAATGTGATGACAAGTAATGTGGCTGAGTCTCTCAATGCCGTTCTCAAAGAAGCTCGAGAGTTTCCAATTGTCTACATCGTTGAGTTTGTGCGTAAAACTCTCATGACTTGGTTCGCTCTACGTCAGGAGACTGCAAAACAGGAGGCTACTATGCTGACACCAAAGGTAAGAGAAATCTTACAAGAAAACTTTGAGAAATCTGGGGGATTCGCTGTGAGGAAGGTTAACACGGGGGAATACGATGTTGTCGGAGGGGCAAAGGGGGGGGGATACCATGTCCAGCTAGCTATGAGATCATGCACTTGCAGGGAATTCAATTTTCTCAAAATCCCTTGTCCCCATGCCGTTGCTGCTGCTATCGTTGATCAGGTTCCGATTTATAGTTATTAATAAATATGTATATCTGGTTATAGGTATTTATATGTTGTTATATATACGTATAGCGTGCTATAAGTAGAAATAACTCTTCTATATGTCAGGTTTCGATGCATTCTCTCGTTGATGTACATTATACCTCATGTTATTAGGTGATGGCTTACAAGGATTCCATCAATCCCGTTCCGGCGATCTCTAGTCTTCACGAACTCCCAGAGGATATTGCTTCAATGAACTTGCTGCCACCCCACACGAAGCGCGCACCAGGGAGGCCAAAGAAAAAACGCTTCTTCTCACGCGGAGAGTTTCAGGTAAGAAATACCTCTCTCGCAACATTCAGCTATACAAACATGTATTCGATACATCTCTATATAGCACGGTATATACTTATGTATCCATCTATATTGTTCAGAAGAAAGGGATGCGAGGACAGAATGTTTGCTCAAGATGCAAGGCTAAGAGGCACAACATGGCCACTTGCCGCATGCCCATATATTAAATCCCACAAAGACTCAACATATTCAGAAAACTTCATATTGAACACCTTATATCTGGATATGGATGTTGTTACCCCGGTACTTTAGTCACAAAATTTTTTTTTTCATTATGCAGGGGGCATGTAGATAAAAAACCAAGTCTACCTTGCACATTTTGGCATAGCTCGGCACTGCGGGGACTAAAGTACGAATGAAGAACGCGTCTTTTGGGATTATCTGTTTGGATTGTGGTCGAACGACTTTGGTGACTAAAAAAGGATGTAACCAACTCTTGTTTTTTGGGGGTTCCCAACCCCATTCGTACTTGTAATATATTATGACCTACCCCTCTCTTAGCAAGGGAAACAATGTAAAATAACTTTTATAATGACTTGGTTTAGCGGCTATTTACCTGTTAATGTCCCTCTATCATTTTACATATCAAAGCCTTTATGGTTTGTGTCGGGATAACAAAATACATATCCGGCTATCTATTTAGTTATCAATTTGATTTGACCACAAAACAAATATTGGAATGACACAAGTTACAACCGAAATTAAAGCTACCTAACACGTTTCCCGTAATTTCCTAGCTAACCAATTGCATTACTATCTACCTATTGGAATGACACAAATATAGGAATGACACATGTTAGAACCGAAATTAAAGCTACTTCACACGTTTCCCATCATTTCCTACCTACCCCTTTGCATTACTATCTACCTAACCCATTGCAATATATAAATGGGTCCTTTCGAAGAACTAAACATCCAAATATACCTAAACAAAAAACAAAGATGATGAGGAAATATCTAGACCAACCATCCTTGATGAAGAAAGGTGGAATTCTCCGCAACGAGTTCGAGGTTGCGCTGGCCGAAGGATAACCAGAAGCACACTATTTAGAGGGCCTCCGGATTGCGTGTTGGGAAGCTGATATTAAGGCAGCCCGGGAACACATCTTTAAAGCTCTAAATCACGTTGAGGAATCAACATTTCTTATGGCAGTCTTGTCCATTTGTTCAGGAGAGGAAGAGGTTGCCAATTTATACGCATCAAAACTATACAAGAAAGATTGGAGATCCGTCCTAGCCATGGGCGACTCAATATTTGCGAAAATGAAACAAATGGGAAGCCTCCACCTTAACTCATACGCCAATTCATGGTACACAGAAATACCAGGTTGTTCTGAAATTCACACCATCGAAGCAAGGTGCGTGGAATGCTACTTGTATTGGTTTGCTAAACTTTTATGTTCGATATGTTAATATGTACCACGGTATATATTACTGTGGCATGATATTAATAAATGTGTGCGAGAGATGCTACTTGTATTTGTTTTCTAAACTTTTATGTGCGCTATCTCAACTTGTACGCCGATATATCCTTGTGCCATGATATAAATAAATATGTTTAAAATATTTCAAATATCAAGTGACATTAAAGGGAATAACAAAGACGACGTCGTTTGCAACTTACTCTAAGCTCCTAAAAATATCCAAGTCGATTCTCAAATCCCTAATCCTAAGAAATCCCCAAATCAAAACGTAAACCCTAAAAATAAATTCTCTGCCGTTCAACTCTAAATCACCATCTTCTATAGTTATGAGTTGTAATTCTGGGAGTTCGAGTGTTCAAGATGGAGGACGTGTGAATCGTGGGTTTCCTACGAACTGTCACTGCGGGCGAGAGCTCGTCATCTATACATCAAGCACGAAGAAGAACCCATGAACACCTTTCTTCCGTTGTCCAACCAATCAAGATGTAAGTATAATTGTTATTAAATGTTTGTGTTTGGTCGGAAAATGATTTTCGATGGAATTGCAGGACCATTTGTTTAAATGGGTCGAAGATTGTGTGTACGAGGAGGTTGTAGATGTTATACCAAAGATTTCCATCATTGATAGCGAGGTAAACAATGCTAAGTCTGAGGTAGCATTGGAAATTGCAGAGTTAAAGAGTTTGATGAACGAATTGAAGGAAGATGGAATTTTGAGCAAAAAGGAATTTCAGAGATGGAAATTGATGACCAAATTGTGCTTGGTGAGCCTTTGTATAACATTCATTGTAATTGTTATCTTAATGTTCCGTAAGACCAAAAACCAGAAACTTGTTCTTGGTTACTAGTGTAGTTAGGTAGTTTGGTGTTTTCTCTTCTTTTTTTTGTTTGTTTGTGTTTTGTCTAACTTTGTAATGAACAAAATGAAATGAGAGTTTGAAGCAAAGTTGAAAGAGTAAATGCATTGTTCTGTTTTCCAGTTGATATGAACATTTTCTAACTCTAGATACATACGATCATAACTAGAAACAAAGAAAAATCCCGCGTTACAATCTCGCGTATCATGATAAATTATTAAATGAAATGAGAATCTTAAAGCAAATTTCAAAGAGTAATAGAAGAGTTCTGTTTTCCAGTTAATATAAACATTTTCCAAATCTATATACATACGTTCATAACTAGTAACAAATATAAATCTCGCATTAAACTCTGGCGTACCATACTAAATTATTAAATAAACCTCAATTATTCAGTAACAAATCCTAAGACAGACAATTAGAATCTCCAATAAAAATAAGGACAAATCCTAAACCAACAATTTACTTCTCAACATACACATCATACATCTCAATCAGCAATTGCTTCGCTTGAACAGCCAAGTCCTCAGGCCTAACCTCTCTAGCCGCTTGAAGCTCACCTACTGCATGCCTCTCTATGAACAAAACAGACGTAAGGCCACTCTCCGAAGGGTTTAGACAAGTCGGAAGAAGTGAGTCTCTGTTTAGGATGAATGGGTCACTGGGGACTGCTTTCATCAGCTGAGGCGACACTTGGCGAACAACGAAAGGGAGCATCTCCAACAAAGGTTCCATTTCTTTCCGGAGCCTAGTGTCCCGACGCACCTTCTGGTTGCAATCAAACACAGAGATATCTCCCCCTGATATCAAGGCACATCCCTACCCAGTGTTGTTTGTCAAAGTTGAATGGGAAGTAGAGTGAATCAAAGTTCAGAGGGAAGCACGACATCAAATCTTGGTCGAATACATAATTCTTCTTAACATATTTTTCAAATTTGAATCGATGAGCAAGGACAAGGGAAGCAAATTTTGTCCTCTGAAAAACCACCCTGCGTTCATTTAAGCCAACCTCTAAGTTTGCCTACTTATCACGGAAATACTTGATAAATGCATCCATCATCTACAAACAAGAGAGCACAAGGTTTACACATGATATGAAACAACATTAATTAGAAAACGAAGTTTAGATACTAACCCATGGTCCCATAACAACTTGTAGTCCAACAATCTCCTCCACGTCCTTGGTTACGAGGAATAAGCTCCCCCCACAAAACAATTTCCTGACAAGGTCCACATCAATATGTCAAGATATTAAAAAAAATATCCATATATGTTTACGAATACCTAGACATAACCAAACATAGATAGACACATTACCCATTATCCGCTAAATACTTCTCAAATTCCAACCACTTCTTATCACTAGCATCCCCTTCCCCTGACACATTTTCCTCTGAACCAACAGAAGCCCTAGTAGGAAAGAGAGCAAGACTTCCACCCTCAGCAGATTCCTTCCCCTGACATTTAGCGTCATCATTCACACTTTTGGCAGCAACATCCTGGTCCTCAAGACCATCTCCACTTTTGGCAGCAACACCCTGGTCCTCAAGACCATCCCCACTTTTGGCAGCAACATCCTGGTCCTCAAGACCATCTCCACTTTTGGCAGCATCATCCTGGTCCTTAAGACCATCCCCACTTTTGGCAGCATCATCCTGGTCCTTAAGACCATCCCCACTGAGAACAGCAGGATCCTCCTGCTCAAAATCAGGACCTAAATTCTCAGAGACCTGCTAACAAACAAAACACTATTAACTACCATATCATGGTATGAACAAGAATGCCCCGATACATGTACACATGTGTTGACATTTTAGTGAATAACTAACCTCCGCTCCACCACGGTTCAGAGAATCAAGCACAGATTTAACAGTATCATCCGGATGTAAATCGAGATGTTCCTCAGCATCTCCTTGTTGACTAGCCGTTCTAACATCCTCCCCTTCTTTGCAACCTCTTTCTTCAGTCTCTACATCCTCCATAGTAACAGAAGCCTCTCCTTCTTGAGTACCCATTCTAACATCCTCCCCTCCTTCCTCCCCTCCTTTGCCACCAACCGTTTCAGACTCATCCCCTACTGGGACAGTAGCCGTTTCAGTCTCATCATCATCTCTAATCTGCCTCAACCTTCCATCTACACGCATCCGTTTCCGCTTGCGTAGAACTGTCTTTTTGCCACGGCTAGTGGGTTTGACCTTACCCTTGGAAACAGGAGCAACAGGTTCAGGAGCAGCAATCTTACCACCAACAGGCCCAGCTCCACTTTTCCCTTTTAAACGAGACACCAGGCGATCCTCCATGCTACTAACAGCTAAAGAAACTTGCGAACTAATTTGCTTTGCTAACCACTCCATTTGGGATTCAGAAAATGGTACAGGCTGGCTACCATCACTACTGCTGCCACAAACAGGAGACTTCTTCCTCTTCCTAGACTTTACAACTTTTTTCCCTTCTACTTTTTCTTTAGGTTCTACAGGAAGCGCAGACACAACCACACCACCTCCAAATTCATCACCAGACCATTGATGGCCTTCTTGAACTAACCTAACCAAATTATCAACTTTCACATCTTCCACCTCGTCAGACCAAGACAAATCGTCTCCAATAACAGCATCATCAAGAGGAATAATAGATTCAACAGAAACCTGCAAACAACCAATAACATCTATTAACTACTATAGGAGGCTACACAAAATAATGCCTCGATAAAACTAAACATGTGGTGACATTGAATTGAATAACTAACCTCTGCTTGACTATCTATCACCCAAATTGGCTCCAATTTTAACTTTGCCAATGCCACAGCACCAACCACTACAGCTTCTTCTTCGGAATCCTCGCCAACGAAGACAGGAGTATCAACCGGCATGCTCTTTTCAATGTCAGGGACAGCCTCTAAAAGAACTAGTTGCAACGCATGCACAAAACCTTGAACAGCAAAGCTTGTTTGGGCAAGCCCAGAAGCTTTCCGAGACTTGATACATGACATAGTCATATCAAACGATATCCTACCCCAAGGATGATTAAGAAATTTGTCAACGTCCCTCAACACTTCTACGGTTTCTTCTTGGATCTTCATATTCAAAGATCGAGGGCACAAAACACCATCAATCATAACCAATAAAGCATATTTCAATCGGGTGTTGGGGTCACGGACACCGCCAGATTTAAGCAGTTTAATTAAAATCTCCGGTGTCACCTCTTCATTCCTCGCGAACAAAGTGAACCAGTAAGGGGATTCAATTGACTTCTTCTTTATCTTGTTCTTACTCACCTTCTTTTTTCCATCGGCCTTTCCAATTGAAATTGGATCGCACCGTAAACCCGTCACTGATGCAAACTCCCTCAGACCAAACCTAATCGGCTTACCCGCAAATACAAACCAAATCTCATGCTTTTTCTGGATTGCTAACTGCCTTGTAAGCAAAAACAAACCGATTTTATTGGAAAAAGAAAACTTTTTTCCGATATCGAACAATTTGCCCATCCGCGAGCCTCTGATCTTCGAAATTTTGTCTGCCTCCAGATGCTCCGATAAATCGTTTAGGTATTGGAGTTGGAAGTACTTGTGAACCCTATCGCCGTCTGGCTCTTCGCCGGACTTAAAGATTCTCTCCGGCAGGTTTTCCATCGAACCTCACTATTCAAATCGCCGGACTTAAAGATTCTCGCCTTCGGTTTCGACACAAGGAGAAGAACGGAGAATTCAAATTTCAACAAAGAGAAAAGCAACGAAATCAATAAATGCAAAAGCGAAACTGTCGCTTTTAACAAATATCAAACGACACAAAAGCTGAGGGTTTCGTTTCGCAATTATGTCTGGGTGCAACTGCTAGACTCTACAAGCATAGGGGTATAATGGTCTTTTCATGACAAACCAAAACACACAAATTATTTACGAAAATGTCACTACTCCTTTGACTTAAATACTTTGTGGTCTTAGGGTATCTAGTGTAAATACTCTTAAAAAAAAAACCTTTCAAACATTAATTCTCTTTACTTAATCGAGATGTCCTAAAATTTGAAGCAGTGGCAGACTCATATGGGAAGATATAAATACTGATAAGTTTACAGATAGATTTATATGTCTTGTTGGTTCATTTGGTCTCTAGTTATTGATTCAACACTCCTAACTCACGTTCAACTCCCACATCTGTCACTTTTTTTTTTTCATTTTTTAATTATTGGGCCATAGTCCATATTTCAAGTCAGACAACAAAACTCATTTTCATGGTTTCTTTTTTTTGGTCTCCTTCATTTTCCATTCAATTTGGTTTGTATATTTTTTTTTTTGTCACACATTAATTAAAAAAATTCTTTGATTGGTTACCCAATTAGAAGGAGAAGTGTTTACAAAGGTAGATTTGGAAAATAAAAATCTAAACGAACAGGCTAAGCAGTCCGATTTAATATTTAGTTTGTATATTTAATAAATATGTTTTAAAATCTAAAATATAATGATAAAAAAATATTCAAAAGCAATTTAAAATCTTATAAAAAAAATTTTTGTTTAAAATCTGTAGGTTATATAAAATACAAGAATATTTATTTATTTATTTGGTAAGTCGAGAGGAGACAATGGTCTCCCGCTTATTGATTAAAAAGAAAAGAGCAATTACATACGAACATTCTGCGGGCATGAAGCCCCCTTGATATCCTCCAACATAATCAAAGAAATAAACTTCGGGCTATCATCTAACATGTGAAAACCTAACGGTAAAGTAAACATAGTTCGCTAATTCATCCGCAAGACGATTAGCTTCTCTATACACATAAAAAATTCGGACTTTCCAGTCATTTGATAAGAAGCCATAGCACAAACGTATTATAAAAAACAACGGATATTTATGATATATTTATTAGTTGACTCCGGTAAAATAATTTTTAGGTCTGCTACTGATTTGAAGTATCATAATTCATAACTACCCAAAGAAAACACTGACTTGAATATTGATCTACGAAAAACATTACATTAATGTCTCAAGTAATTCTAGTCACCATATTTTTCAATGGTACATTTTTTGTTGTTTTTTTACTCTTCACTCTTGTTCAAAATATTGCCAAACGCTAGTTGAGCATTAGAAATAAATGTAACGTCTAACAAAAAAATTGGAGATTATACTGATTCTTAAGACAAAGCTCTTCACCGATTACACTACCCTGAAATTTTTTGAGCAGTGAGATAAAAAGATAAAACGAAAATATTGTCCTAGCACTTACAAATGAAGTCAACACGACAGAGGTCACCTGTCACCGGCTGACTAGGTTGCCTTTACATATTAAAAACCGGCAGCTGTCTTTTAGACTAAAAACTACTCCTTCCGTTTCGTTTTAGTTATCGTTTTAGGACTTAAATTTTGTTTCGTTTTAGTTGTCGTTTTAGGTTTTCAATGCAAATGTTTGGTAAAAGTTCCAGTATTATCCCTATTGTTTTAATGTTGTGGCCAATAAAATTTTTTATAATATATATTAATAAAAGGTAAAACAAAAAATTTAATGCTTTTCTTAATTTGTGTGAAAAAACCTTAAACGACAACGACAACTAAAACGAAACGGAGGGAGTATGTACTTGGGTTCTGTCAAAACTCAAAAACCCAAAATTCTTCTTTTTTTTTTTCTAGTCAACAATTCTTATCCTTTTCTTACAATAATAACAAAATATTATTATTCTTGTCCTCACATTTTGTCTTTTCTCACTCTCTCTCCCATTGATCTTCCTCGGCAACATCTCCCGACGTCTCTCTCGTTCCGGTTAGTCCTTCTCTTTAGACTCTGCTCCGATCTGTATCTCTTCTCTCTCAGTTTTTTGTTCTCTGAGGTAAAACAAAGGATCTTTCATTATCAAGTTCTAAAACCTCAAAAACTAGTTCTAAAAACCGATGCTAGAGAAATCAATTTCACTTACGATTGTGTTTGATATATACCGCATCTACGTTTCATTAAGTTGATAACTATCTATATTTTGCAACCAATTTTGTAATATTCTTCGTTTTTTCCAATTTTTGTTTGACTAATTTACTGGGATTTTGATAAATAATTAGCTTTTTTTTTTTCTGGGTTAAAGTCAAATTCAGAGCTTGTTACTACCTCTGTATTAGTATGTTTCTGGGTTTTTCTGGGTTAAAGTCAAATTCAATGCTTGGATTCATATTTTGATGATTTATGAGGTTTTTCTCTCAATACAGATTTTATCTGGTTGGGTTAAATATTGATGGGCACATCATCTGGTTCCAATCATCCTCACCAAATGTTACCACCACGTCAACAACAAAGAAGTGGAGGGCTTGAAACAGCTCTTTCACTCGTATCTTCGGATCAGGAGCCACGTCGCGAGTCTCCAGCCGAGAGTGCGAGTTCTCAAGAAACATGGCCACTCGGAGACACTGTTGCGGGGAAGAAGACAGTGAGTCAAAAGACGGAGCCTGATTCTATGGAACAAAATGTGAATGTTATGCACCATGTGTCGAATGCGGATAAGGTATCGGTACGGGATATAGCTAGGGAAAGAGTTGAGTTGGTTGCGGAGAGAATGCATCGATTACCGGATGAGTTTCTTGATGAGTTAAAGAACGGTCTTAAGTCTATTCTTGAGGGGAATGTAGCGCAGAGCGTTGATGAATTCATGTTCTTGCAGAAGCTTGTTCAGAGTAGATCTGATTTGAGCTCTACGACACTAGTTAGAGCTCATCGGGTGCAGCTTGAGATTCTTGTAACGATAAATACGGGGATTCAGGCATTTTTGCATCCGAACATCAGTCTGTCTCAGCCGTCTCTTATCGAGATTTTCGTATACAAGAGATGTAGAAACATAGCCTGTCAAAACCAACTACCGGCTGATGATTGCTACTGCGAAATATGCACTAACAGGAAAGGGTTCTGCAACCTTTGTATGTGTATGATCTGTAACAAGTTTGATTTTTCTGTCAATACTTGCCGCTGGATCGGATGCGACTTGTGTTCCCACTGGACTCATACAGATTGTGCTATTCGGGATGGACAGATCACCACGGGATCCTCTGCTAAGAATGCATCAGGTCCAGGAGAAATAGTGTTCAAGTGCCGGGCTTGTAATCGGACGTCTGAGCTGCTAGGATGGGTTAAAGATGTGTTTCAGCACTGTGCACCAAACTGGGATCGGGAATCTTTGATGAAGGAACTCGACTTTGTTAGTAGGATTTTCCGCGGAAGCGAAGATCAACGAGGTAGGAAACTGTTTTGGAAGTGTGAGGAGCTTATCGACAAGATTAAAGGTGGTTTGGCTGAAGCAACTGCTGCCAAATTGATATTAATGTTTTTCCAAGGTAACCTTACTGACTTATTTTTTATGAATCAACATTACTCTTTTGTTTGCGGAGTCTGACCCTTTTTTTGTTACTGTGTTACCGAAGAGATCGAATTAGACTCCGTGAAGAGCTTTGAAAATGGAGAAGGCGGACGTTTGATGGCACCTCAGGATGCATGCAACCGAATTGCTGAAGTCGTACAGGAAACTCTGAGGAAAATGGAGATAGTGGCTGAGGAGAAGATGAGGATGTTCAAGAAGGCACGCATGGCTCTCGAGACTTGTGATAGAGAGCTCGAAGACAAAGCCAAGGAAGTAGCGGAACTGAAAGCGGAGAGGCAGAAGAAGAAACTTCAGATAGACGAGTTAGAGAGAATCGTGAGGCTGAAGCAAGCAGAGGCAGACATGTTCCAGCTTAAAGCAAACGAAGCAAAGCGGGAGGCTGATAGATTGCAGAGGATTGTACTAGCGAAAATGGATAAGTCTGAGGAGGAATACGCAAGTAACTATCTGAAACAGAGGCTGAGCGAGGCCGAGGCAGAGAAGCAGTATCTGTTTGAGAAGATTAAGCTGCAGGAAAATTCGAGGGTGGCATCACAGAGCAGTGGCGGTGGAGGTGACCCGTCACAGGTGATGATGTACTCAAAGATCCGCGATCTGCTTCAAGGATACAATCTCTCTCCCAAGGTAGATCCTCAATCAAACGAGCGTAATCCTTTCAGATCCAATCCTTGATGCTCGTTCCTCCCTTATAAATATGTAGTTTTCATATCCTAAATTTCATCACTTTGTTTTGTAAAACGAGTGTTTGTAGCCGTGTAGGATCTATCTATAACTGATGTTTCCTAATTTGTGTGTTCTCACTTTGTTGATATGTACTTGTTTATCTATGATGTGGTTTCTTTGTTAGTTGATTCAGTGATTTAGGAAACGTAGAGAGAGAGTTGATTGTGCAAATAAGAGTCTTAAGTAGTCTTTGTCATGATACTTGTGCCATTCCTTTTACGTCTTTTCGACAACTTGTACATATGGCTTTAAGCTATCTAACACTTAATAGAGGATTCTCTGATATGAACTTAAAGAAGAACAAATGACTACACAACATAAAATTCCATCGTCTCTGACAGATTTTGGAAGGAGGCTATGGCTGTGAAAAACATGGAAAACGCGGTGGATGTGTAAATGCAGATGATGCGCAGCGCAGTAGAGCTTACTCTATTCAAAATCTCTCATATGGTCGAAAAAACGCTTGCCGCCAACTAAATATGTATACGGTGAATCACTAATTTTTGTCGATAAAGGAGATGTTCTGAGAACAACCTTGTACCCACTTCAAAGATTTGTCAAACCGCCATATTCTTCTGAATGTAGTATAATGGCTTGCAATTATGGATCATACTCACTTCTTTGTAAATATCATATAATTGCAACATAGTTAGGAAAATATATTATGAATTGTTTTTACCGGAATATTTGTCCTTGATAACCCATATGCAGCCTTGTTTCTACTAGACTCGATGTACATAATGTCGAAATCATAATCTGATAGCTAGCGTACTTAACCATTTTGGTACTCCATTGTAACTCTTTTGATCCATTTTCACCACAAATTGTCTCCCCCAAGAAGTAATGTATGTGGTGCAAACTAAATCAGTCATACAAGTAAAAAGTATATTAGTCCCCCTAAATAATTTTGCAAATGTGTTATTTTCCTCAACGATCTATGCTCGAGTTTTTTCCATGCAACATATTGATGTATTATATTCTCCGTAAATCAATTTTATTACACCTATCTTGACTTTTAAAATAACAGTATAATCTATATAAGTGAGTGTTTTTTTTTTTTTTTTTCTCTATAAGTGAGTGTTCATATTTTGTCTGAGTTTGTTCACAGTCACATATGCTCGGTGTCAGGAACCATCATTAATCTTTGTATTGATACGGAGAAACCAAAAGTTTTCACCTTCCCTCTCGGGTTTTGAACTCGGGGACACCTTTCATTTTAATTTTACGTGAGTCATAAATGGCTCACTCATTGAATCATACTTTTACCATTTATTTATTTTATTTTTTTTTGTAGATTTAAATATGAACTATTTACATTAGGGGTGAGCACGGATCAAATACCTGCTATTTTGGATATACTTGATACCCGATCCACCCCGTACAAGTATCACAAATGAGTGACACGTACTAAATATTAAGACTTACGAGTTACATGCATCGGCTTTAGCACCAGATTAATGATATTTCAAATTTATATTAATGTCGATCCAAACTCATTCCACCATATAACTCGTCTCGTGATATTTTAATTTTTTTATAAGTTTAAATGTTCGTAATATTTTAAACTTTTTATAAAGTTTGAATATATCAATAATAATAATTAAAACTTTTAAAATTTTAAAATTTTATTATATGTGGCATAATTAAATGGTACGACTAAAGAATCCTGTTAAAATGATACAAAATTTTAATTTTGGATGTTTGTTAAGTTAAATATCATGCTCACTCGGATTTGGATTCAATTTGGTCTTATTTATAATATGATTCTAAATCGTCTAAAAATTTTAGCCAATGTAAAACGTTGAACACACACTTTTTCCTTCATTAATTGAATACTTGATGTATGTTTTTCAAAATTTGAATCACCAACATATGCATAAATAAATGATTCAAAGCAATTAAAAATCAAACAAAGATAGTAGAAAAATCATAATTTTAAATTAATCTTAGCAAAATCTTAGTAATATCTATATTATTAATTGAGAAAGATATTTCTAATTTTATAATTAATGTTAAATCTTTTAATTGTATTTGGTTATATGGATATTAAAGAATTAATTGTAAGAGTTGTTTGGATACATGTATATACATATTTTTTATTATTTCATATTTACCTTTAATGATCTTCCTAAATTATTTATTTTAAAATCAGTGACATTTTCTGTAGTATCTTATTAAAACAAAGGTTTCTCTTTAGAATATACTTCAAAAATACTTATATAGATATATGTATTAATTCACATGAAAAATAATTTTATGGATTTAGTTTAATTATTTCAGTTAGAGTTAGAAGCACTAGTTCTGTAATTAGTGGATTATGAACCCAACTATTTTTGCAGTTTTATCACCAATGAAAATCTAGTTGGAGATGGTGAAATTAGCGGTTGATAGAGTGTAACAAAGAAGAGGACAATGGATAAATAGTTAGCATTATATTTTCTATCGTTTACAAGTCGCATGTACATACATACACATTCACATACATGGTACATGGATCACTCATTGTATGAAGTTTAGAAAACGACAAATAGACAGATTTAGAGAATCATTTATATATGTTTTAAAACACATTCCACCTCTATATTTTTGTTAAACGTGAGATATCTCCACTATATTATAATGGAAAGGGTTGTCAAAAAGAATAATGAAACAAAAAGAACGGCAAAGGGGGGGTTGTTTTGTGGGGTCATAGTGACACAACATTCACTTGCAAAAAAAGAGTAAAGGTGAAAGCTTATATATTCTATAAATCTATTTTTATTATTTAAATTGCTTTGCAAAATTTAGTTAACGCTTTTTTAGTTTGGAATCTGAATTTCTTATCATTTTTTAATAAGTGGTTATTCGTAATATTCTGCACCCAAACTCGTACATCTCTATTGTCTAGAATAAGATAAATGTAGTCCTTCTACAAAGTATCGAACTAGCATGACCTATGACACAATCTTTTGGACGGATTCGACGCTCAACCACTGTATCAAGCTTTGGATTATATAATGTTTGAAGTTCTAGATACAATTCTTGAAAGTTTAAATTTGACCATTTGTGGTTTTTTTTTTCCTACGAAACGATCCAACAGTTTCCGATAAATAAGTTATGTTCGATCATCAAAATGATATATTAATCAAAAACTAACAACTTATGATAAAAACAAGTTTCTATTTTCGCATTTTCTACAAAATTAAATTACTTCGTATTTTCCACAGTCGTGTGGCATGAAACCACAACATTTGAATTCAGCATCGTAGTCTTCGTTCTCTACTGGTCAACATTCTATGACTTTGATTTTCTTTGGTGTTCCATCTTGTCTCCTTATATCTATTAAAAGCCAACTATGTTTTTCTTTTTCCATCTATATGTATAATTTTCTAACTACACTATATTAAAATTAAATTATTTGATGAAAACATATACTCTAATGGGTTATGATATCATATTTGTTTTTAAGATTATTGACCAAATTTTGGTGGACTATTCTTTCAATTCTTCTCACATGTTTTAGGAAAAATATTCCACTATGCAGTTCAACAATTCCTAGATATATTTAGCGAAAAAATAAACTCGGATTTATATGGATCCCGGGAATGATTTTGGTTTTGATAAAAAAAATCTTTTTAATACTTTTATCTTAAACTAAGATTAGAGATAGTGAAAGTTGAAAACTAGATTGAGACAAATAATGAATCGGGGACATGTATCTTATATAATTGGAGGCTCAATAAATCAAATGATGTGGTGGTGGGAGCGACATCTTTGAGTGGTATAATCGTAAATCACACGCCGGTTTAAGATTCTGTTTCTTTCTTTCTTTCTCTCTGATAAGAGTGAGACTTGTGTTTTGTCTTTCGAGCCATTCCCATGTGCCTTGTCTCCGACAACTTCCTCTCTTCTCTCTCTCTTCCTCTGGTTCACATGGAACTTCAATAACATTCACTACTTTAAGGTTTCTTCTCATCTCAGAAAAAGTCAGGTGGGTACTACCAAATTTGGATTTTTTTTCACTTAGAACAGTTCTGTTTGATCTTTGATTCCTAAAGTTTTATAACTTTTGTTTTTCTTTATCTTCCAATGAATATGATCATATCAAGTCTTAAATCTTCTTTCTCTCTTGATCTTGTTGGAAAATTCTTTGATTTGGAGGTTATCAATTTGCTGCTTTCTTGGATTCTTGATCTCTGTTTTTATCAGTAGATTTGATTTGTTTATGAGTAATTCTGAAATTATTTGCATCAGAATTGAGTTATGTGTAGAGGAATAGGGTTGATCTGAGTTTCAAAACTATGTTAGGGTAATTTAGAGCTTCTCTAGGATGGTTTAAGATGAGCCTAAGTCTGATTTTTTGTACTTTTAGTTGTGCAGATCATTGAAGTGACTAGAAATGTACAAGCAGCCTAGACAAGAGATTGAAGCTTACTCTTTTGAGCATAACTCTGCTGGGAAGATTATGTACTTACCGGTTCATAACTCGCGTAAACGGTTTTGTACACTGGAGCCATCTCCTGACTCTCCTGCTTATAATGCTCTGTCTACTGCTACATATGAGGATACATGTGGCTCTTGTGTGACGGATGATTTGAATGACTTCAAACACAAGATTAGGGAAATAGAGACTGTGATGATGGGGCCTGACTCGTTGGACTTAGTCGTCGATTGCACCGATTCCTTTGATTCCACGGCGTGTCAAGAGATTAATAGTTGGAGATCAACTCTAGAGGCTATCTCGAGGCGGGATTTAAGAGCTGATCTTGTTTCATGTGCGAAAGCTATGTCGGAAAATGATCTTATGATGGCTCATTCGATGATGGAGAAGTTGCGGCAGATGGTATCGGTTTCTGGTGAGCCTATCCAACGGTTGGGAGCTTACTTATTGGAAGGTCTAGTGGCGCAGTTAGCTTCATCGGGTAGTTCCATATACAAAGCACTTAATAAGTGCCCTGAACCGGCTAGCACCGAGCTTCTCTCTTACATGCACATTCTCTATGAGGTTTGTCCTTACTTCAAGTTCGGATACATGTCAGCAAATGGTGCTATTGCTGAGGCCATGAAGGAAGAAAACAGAGTTCACATTATCGATTTCCAAATCGGTCAAGGGAGTCAATGGGTCACACTTATCCAGGCTTTTGCAGCTAGGCCTGGTGGGCCGCCTCGGATTCGGATAACGGGTATTGACGATATGACTTCAGCGTATGCTCGTGGAGGTGGCCTAAGCATTGTTGGAAACAGACTCGCTAAGCTTGCTAAGCAGTTTAACGTTCCATTCGAGTTTAACTCGGTATCAGTGTCAGTGTCCGAGGTTAAACCTAAGAACCTCGGGGTTCGACCAGGGGAAGCTCTAGCCGTCAACTTTGCCTTTGTGCTTCATCATATGCCAGACGAAAGCGTGAGCACCGAGAATCACCGGTACAGTTTTTATTTTAAAATTTGTTTAAACATAGGATGAGTTTCTTGTTCTGTCCATTGACTAAGTTGAGTATAATTTGCAGCGACCGGTTACTGAGAATGGTGAAGAGCTTATCTCCCAAGGTTGTGACTCTGGTGGAACAAGAATCAAACACAAACACGGCCGCTTTCTTCCCGAGGTTCATGGAGACAATGAACTACTATGCCGCGATGTTCGAGTCAATTGATGTGACTCTCCCAAGAGATCACAAACAGAGGATTAATGTAGAGCAGCATTGTCTAGCCAGAGACGTCGTGAACATCATCGCATGTGAAGGAGCTGATCGGGTGGAGCGACATGAGCTTCTAGGGAAATGGAGGTCACGGTTCGGGATGGCGGGTTTCACTCCTTACCCTTTGAGCCCCTTGGTGAATTCAACCATTAAAAGTCTGCTTAGGAACTACTCGGACAAGTACAGGCTAGAAGAAAGAGATGGAGCCTTGTATCTTGGTTGGATGCATCGAGATTTGGTCGCCTCGTGTGCTTGGAAATGAGACAGTAACATTTCTCTAGTGTGATCGCAATTAATGTGTGTGTATGCAATTTAGTCGCTCATTTGAATCTTCAAAACATTAGAAGAATCTTATGTCTACTACTAGAGACCAAGAGACACATGCACAATTGCTCAAATATCAAAGTCAACGTTTTCCCCAATCAAAACTTAAGTATAATTATAGTTCACACGAATGGGTTTTTATTATATGTAATCTGAAATAAATCGATTATCAGTAAAACAACAAAATAGTGTATTTTCATAGTTGTGACATCTCAACAACTTCAATTATTTTTGGAGACAACACGTGAAAATGTCTCTTTTTTTCTTTTTTTTTTTTTTCATCTTGTTAATGTCTCTTTAGCAAATAAATAGTGAGTGTGTGATGTTTCTGAATTTAATTTTACACTTCAACATTCTACTTTTTGATAATTCATCATTAATGATCTTCCACATTTGAATTATACTCCCCCTCTCTCTTTTAAATTATTTGTCGTTTAAGGTTTTTGCACATGAATTAAAAAACAATTAAATTTTCTACTTTACCCTTGTTCAACATATTCTCTAAATTTTTTTTATTGGTCAAGACATTAAAACTGTGAGGATAAAACTGAAATTTTTACAAAATATCTACATTGAAAATCTAAAACGACAACTATAATGAGACAAAATTTAAGTGCTAAAACGACAACTAAATTCAAACGGAGGGAGTAGGTAGTGAAACCAAAAGTCTAAAACCCTAAGCGACTAAAAAAAAGCATACGACTCAAAGAGTAAGAACAAAAAAATGGTATCTTATGAAAAATGATTACATTGTCATAAAAAGATTACATATTCAACAATATATACATCGAACTAGACCTAAATTTTCTTAATTAAGATAATCAAAAATATACAAACAATCCTCTCAATCTTTTTTTAACTTTCTTATAATTTAGATCTTCGCAAATTCTATAATTTTGGTTACTCATTCCGATGATTTGATATTGGTCGATCTCCGGTTCTTCATCTCATTTGGTCTTATAACACATACGACAAACTCATAAATGATAATTTTGACCTTTATGGAGTGATTTATGTATGCACACAACAACATTTATAGATTGATAGCCGGAAAATCAATCCAAATAATTTTTCTCACACTTTGGCTTGCATGGGAGTCAAAGTATAAAGTTTCGTGGGTGTGTTGCTTCTCGGTTTCCTTGAAACCAAACTTACAATTAGTCAAAATGTGCACCTTTTTTTGTTATGCTTGTCTAGTAAATCAGAACAATACCTCCTCGGGGATATTTAACAAGACTATGTATGTCACGAAGACCAACCATATCAATATTCTTTTTTTTTTTTTTTGAATATCTGCAAATTTAAACTTAAAGGCTCTACATCTTCCAGAGGCGGGACCCACACCAGATTAAATTCATCTCTTTTGGGGAAGAGATCTCTCCCAACGGGCGTCAAAGCCAGTACCTCCACCTGGGAGATTTACCACTGGACCAGCAACACTGGAAGATTTACCTTTTTTTTTGTAACCATATAATTTAAGATAAACTTATTTCCAAAAATTACAATACAAAAAATTAATATTAAAATTTTTATTTTTTTGGTAAAAGGCTTATGTAATTAAATTTATATATAATTGAATATTTACTTTGTGACATATATTTTAACATATCAGATTAATTAGAGTATATATAACGCTCTAAGACTTTTAGTCATTATTATAAGATGATATAAAATGATTAGATCCCTAAACTCGTACAATGGGTCGTTATCTCCTAGTATCTCTATCATATAAGATTCTACTCAAGACTTATCAGATATGATTTTTATTGTTGGTAACATCCCTATGAATTTCCGGATCTAAGTATACCCCAAGCCCAAATACAACGACATGAACATTAATTTTTCCAAAGTACATAATGCAAATTACCATCAGTCCATTATACAGTTGCCTACTTGCCTTCTAATCTCTCCAACCTATTTTTATAGTTGCCTCCTTACGTAACCATAAAAAGAGCTTGAAACAGACCACACATATACTCCACAGATCTTACAATCGATATTTAGGCCTCAATACCACTGGAAATAGTCTTTGTTTTTCTAAAAATGAAATCCAAATATATCGGTTAGAAAAGCTGAAAACATGAATGGTGGAGAAGAAAGTGGAACATTCAAATCTCTCTCCTCCTAGATACTATATAATGGCAGCAAAACATATGAACAAAACATAAAAAACAAAAAAAAAAACTTTTAAAATAATAAATAGTCATAACTAGTGTATTACAAAAAAAAAAGTAAATAAAAGTAATCACTAGCTAGTGACTAAAATAAATCCCAATTATGGGTCGTGTACATTTTGGAGTATCAGCATTCTTTGTTTTTTGTTTGTTAGGTTTATCAGCTAATGCAAAGGTCTTCAACATTGGTTCTCCTCCAGGTTCTGATATCACCAACGTCAGTTCTAAAACCTAACAACCATCTCGTTTATCGATACATTGTTTTCTTGTTCTCCAAGTAATTTTTAATATCTTTGTGATATAGGCATTGTTGAAAGCATTCAATGAGGCATGCCAATTCCCGACAAAGAGCACCGTTCTGATCCCAAAAGGTGAATACAAGCTTGGGGAGATCGTGATGATGGGTCCATGCAAAGCTCCTATAAGGATTGCTCTTCAAGGTACCGTGAAAGCCGACGGTAACGCTAATGGAAAGGAGAAATGGGTCGCTTTCCGCAATATTGATGGGTTTAAGTTGAACGGAGGTGGTGTTTTCGACGGTGAAGGAAACGCAGCATGGAGGGTCAACAACTGCCACAAGACTTTCAACTGCAAGAAACTCCCCATCGTAAGAAACCCTTTCATATTATATAAGATAAATTCGCGATTTAAATGTGTTTGTTGATGTTTTGGTGTCATTGTTGAACAGAGCATCCGTTTTGATTTCGTGACCAACGCGAAAATTAGAGGCATAACCTCCTTAGATGCAAAGAACTTCCACATTAACGTGATCGGTGCAAAGAACATGACATTCGAAGACGTCAAGATCATCGCCCCTGCAGAGAGTCCCAACACCGATGGTATCCACGTTGGAAGAAGTGACGGAATCAAGATCATCAATTCATTTATCTCCACAGGAGATGACTGTGTCTCTGTTGGAGATGGAATGAAGAACCTTCTTGTCGAAAGAGTTACATGCGGTCCGGGACATGGAATCAGTATTGGAAGTCTTGGAAGGTACAGCCACGAGGAAAACGTCAGTGGCATCAAGATCATCAACTGCACCCTCCAAGAGACTGACAATGGGCTAAGGATCAAGACATGGCCTTCTGCAGCTTGTACCACAACCGCCTCCGATATCCATTTCGAGAACATCCTCCTCAAGAACGTCAGCAACCCCATCCTCATCGACCAAGAGTACTGCCCATGGAACCAATGCAACAAGCAGGTACATAAAAAATTACTCTAGGAATTCGCCTGTTTTCTTGTAGTATATATATATATATATATATATATATAGAAAGTACATGAACACTACTATAGTATTGGTTATGATTCCAAAACGTTTGATGTTTTGTTTTTTTTTTCCGTAGAAACCATCAACAATCAAGTTGGCCAACATAAGCTTCAAGAAGATCAGAGGAACATCAGGAAACAAAGACGCGGTGAAGCTTTTGTGCAGCAAGGGACATCCATGTCAGAACGTGGAGGTAGGTGACATTAACATCAAGTATACCGGAGCTGACGGTCCAGCGACTTTCCAATGCTCAAACGTATCACCAAAGCTTGTGGGAACTCAGATTCCAAAAGCGTGTAGCAGCCCGGTGACAAAGCCACCAAAGTAGAAAGTGTGTATATATTATATGCTCATACACAATCTAAATGTATACCCTAGTGTATGCTGTACGTATGCTTTCAATTGATATCTTTGTGAAATAACCTATTTTTTTGAGCTTTTGGCTATATTGTAAGAAATGAATCCTTCTTGAAAAAAACAAAACATCTAACTAATTTTATAACTTGTGACTAATTCCAAACTGCATTCAATATGGTTGAACGAAGTTATTATACCAATTGAAATTTGCGATGAAATTCCTCTCATTTCGACTATCGAAATGGTGTCATGCTTTAAGTCCATTAGAAAACCTGGTGAATGGGGCTACTCAACGACTACACTAAAAGTAGTCGGTGGCTAAAGTCGGGATTAATTCTTGGTTATATAAAAAAAAGGAACTACATAGTATTACAAATCCTGGTCGATGTTTTTAAATCCATACACAATCAAAACTCTAATTTGAAGTAAATTATTGATAAAATAATTTATTTATATATAGCGCCATAAAATTATTGTTATGATTTTTATTCAGTGACTATTCTTGTGAATTATACTTACATTTGATACATGTTTCGTCATCTCTCACTCTCATCTGTTTTTCTATTAGTTTTTCTACTTCCAAACAAGATAACTCTACGTAGTACCCGGAGCAGCTTATTGGCATAATTTCTCTGTGAAGTAAAGCTTACAGAGCCAATACAAGCCGTTTTGACTTGGCCGAAAGTGTTCTTGTTTCTACTCGCTGATCTTTTTCCAAGGCAAGTTGGCTTCTTTTGGTTGTTGTGGGACTGAAGGCTCTTCTTTAAAGAAACTAGTTGCTCTTCGAGGTTATGGATTCTAAAGCTCGTTGACTCGTACTCATCCAATGTTGCATCTTTCTGCATCAAGAAGCATAACGGCCTGTTTCTTGCCCCGGTTTCATCATCAGTGCAAGGGCTTTGTTGGGATGTTAAGGGTCTTGAGCTTGGAACAACACTACCGGAGAAGTCTGCAGAGTTTGTGAATCTGAATGAGTCAGAACAGTCTTTGAAAGCTTGGTGTGTGTTGAGCTGTTGGATAAAGAGAGCTTGGACAACCAAACGTAATGGCATTTGCTCGTTTTTCACGAGTTGGAGGGACGTTGCTTGTGATAGTTTTTGGGAGTTTAGGTAACTGCAGATTGATCCTTTTTCTTCCTGATATATGGTTGTATGTACCTAAAGCAGAGCCGCGCCGCGTAAGGTACAATGTTGGTTGATTTTAAATAATGGAAGAAGGAAAAAGTGAAGGCATACCTGAAGAAATGCGTTTACTGCAAGATAGAGTTGGTCATGACTCTCTCTGAATGACATTGGGACTGTCTCAATCAGCTCAATGAACCTTGTTGTTTTCATCTCTTGATCATATGGTAAACGAGAGAGATAAACATCCCACAATTTTCCAACTCTCATGTTGCTTGGGGAGGAAGTAAGATGTCGTTCTGATTCTGTTGATACATATGTTGAAAACAGGCTTTCCATTGTAAGCAACTCCTGACTGAAAGCAACTTGCCCGTTCCCGGCTTTCGGGTATATAAAGTTTTCGGTGTGTGCAATGTGAAGAAGAGATACAATCTGATCTTGCAGCTTCAACACAGTTTCATGCTTCAAATTGTGTGCGAGACACGCAAAATAAAACCCGACTGGAACAAACCTATATGCCTTGTCTCTTGTAAGAAGCAGATCAAGAGCTCTTTGCAGAATATCAGTATTACTTTGACCTTCAGGTATTACAGATTTGCTGGCATAAAAGACGATCAATGGACTTACATATCTTTCTTTCATCCCTTGTCTTCTAAGTGACCCAATCACTTGTCTGAAGAATTCGAATGGAAGATCTGTGAGGTCTTTGATCCAAGTATCTTGGTTTATAATTTTCTCTACGGTTGTATATTCCCATGGTTGATTCACCAAACCTTCAAGCATGACTACCGGCTTTTCTCTTCGTCTTTCCGGATCAAGAATCTCCATACAAGCCGTGAAAGCCAGAGACTCAATGCACCGGCTCACGATTAGTAAATCTTCAGACCAAGGCAATAGATCCTGACATTTCTTCAGAACAACTAACGTATCATCCCAGTTTTGCAAGACAACTTGGTTTAGATATAGGTCAAATCTTTCGCAGAGGTTTCCCGTCGAATGTTGTTCTGTCATTTCAAGAAATTGAGCTGCACATCTAAGCCCAGCGATGTTGAATGGATGTATTAAAGTTGGACAGCCATATATGAAAAGCATAATCTTCTCAAAGGTCTCTGCTCCACCAGGAAACTCTTGTGGTATCTCGATCTCCGATAGCTGATCTTCTCTTTCCTTAAAATATCCGCTCTTTGTACACAAGAGCGTCTACAAAGAAAGACAAAATTAAGCATTAGAACACTACAAAACCACTAGGCTACATGTATTGGTTGAAAACAAAATTCTTTGGAAGATTTTTTTTTTTTTTTTAGAAAATTCCTTGAGAGATTTGATATAACATTATTACCTTGTGAAGGTTAAAACTCTTGTTGCACACTCGAACATGTACTGACGCAGGTAGACCGGTCTCTTTACTCCTGTGACACACACACACACATAAAGATACATTACATAAGTCTACAACATGAATAATTCAGATTTGCTATATGGCATCAAGAAGATAATCTTTAGATTCATACCAAGAAAGAACTTTGATTTTCAAAAGGGTACTAATATTCGGAGAAGAAATCGGGCTGGAGGCGACGGACGAACCATCCTTGATGCTGCAAGTTTCCATTATTGAGTATATAACTTGTGGTTTTTGAAAACTATGTAGATAAAGTATATCAAAACCAATATGGTAATGATGAAAATAGAGACACTTGGTCATCCATTTATTCTTCTTCACTGTTACATTTTTGAAGAAGAAAGTTGCGTGTTTTGGGGATTGAAGAGGAAGAAAAGGGTTCTAGGATCCACAAAACAAGAGGAAGCTAAGGAAGATTTGAGAAAAACCAAGTTTCTTTTGGTTTCGGTTTTATCAAATATTAAACTATAATATGGCTACTTGCATGCAGGCACACACATATATGCGTTGTAGATGTGGTCAAAGTCAGATGCACACGAGTGTTGAGCTCAAAAAAAAAAAAAATTTCATAGTTCAAGGCTAGAATTTGAAGACGACGTTCCTCGAGTGTTGAGAAGAGTTGAAAAAATCTTGTATTATAACATTTTTTTCTTTTGCTTTTTTCAACAACATTTTTGTTTTTTTACTCCAACACTTTGTTTCTTTTCCATACATTAACTGTTACAAGACTCGGAATTGTTCTAATTAGACATTTTGGTGACGCTTATTTATGATACGTCTTACGATCTGGTCTTCGAGTTATTTAATAATACTAGTATTCACCCCATACTACGTACTGGAAAACTCAATTTATTTTTTGTATTAAGTTTGTATGTACCATATTACATTATCTATAATGAGGATATATAATGCGTTTGTTAAGGTGCAATTAATTCTTCATCTCTTTTACTACTTCTGCAATATATGAAACTAAATAACGAAAGAGAGTTTATGAAAGATGGAATATGATTTTAAAAATCAGGAAGGAAAATCACAAAGTCCAAATATATAAGTCTTTAAGACATGAATATTACAACTTTATGTAGAAGCCGTTGACCATAAACAGGCCCGGCTCAAAAATAATTTAGTCCCTGTGCCAAAATAAGAAATAAATCCAAAATTTTGTCCTATACTTAAGAAATTTGAAAAATTTAGGTCTTTTTTTACATAATTTTAAAGAAATTAAGACCCTAAAATTAATGAAAAATAGTGGGACCCTGTGCTTTGGCACTGTGGGCACACCCTTAGAGCCGGCTCTGACCATAAATATATATATATATATATATATATATATCACGATGACTTAAGCTTTTTGTTGTATATAATTGAGAAGATTTGAGCTCTATATTGTGTTAAGATTGTTGAAAGGCTTTTATTTTGGCGTAATGTCCATGCGTGTCAGTGTTACCACACCGCCATGAAACTTATCTTTATCTTGTGCTCTTCCTTCATCTTCCTTTAATGCTTCATTTGCTTTCTTGTTTTCATAATCTGCCTGCTCCTTAATGAGTCACTTTTGTATCTGATTGTACCAACATGCTTCACTTTCTTACATATTCTGAAGGATAGATCATCAAAAGGCAGTAGATAAAAAAAAAAAGATAAGTTGCGGTATAGTCAGTTTTTGAACATAATTAGAAAACTAGTCACCTTACTATTTACAATTAGATTTATTCCCCCAATTAACTGTTTCGTTTTTTGTAAGCCCCCTATTGCCACTCAAATAATCAAGTAATTACGGTTTTATGCCACTCTCTTTATTCCTCATGTCGTTTCGTCTTTCTCAGATGAAAACCGAACTCAATTTACTTATCCTTCTCTTTGTTCACTCAAGTAACTGTCGTTATATCTGTTCCCTGCAATGTCGAAGAAAAAAACATCAAAATCGAAGATCAATATCGATCCCGTCGATATGAAACAACATCAGAATCGGCGAGGCAACAATATGGATACTAAACCAGGTAATCAAATTGTCATTCAATTCCGTTTGCATGATATCGTTTTAATCTTAGAAAATTGGTTTGATTTTGAGAGTTTCTATGTGTTTAGCCGCATATGTTTCTGGTTCTGCACATTCTCCGGCAAAGACCCCAACCGGCATAGATCTTATTCCAAACCCTAGCTTGCCTAGGCGTCTGTTACCTTCCGCTGGCTTACCAGATCGGGCTCGCCTTAACATTTACTGTAAGCCAAAGTATTTGGGGATTCTAGTTCAACTCCTTAAGGGTTCTGAAACATGGAGTTCGTTTCTCGCTTCTCAATTCTGGAAATTGTTTGAACTCCATGTCGCAAGGTGTTTTCATTCTGCCAAATTGATTCAAGGTATGCTTTCTCGACAACTTCTGACACAAAGAAAGCATGAATTATGGACCGTATATGGTTGTTTTCCTCTTCGCTTCTCGCTCCGTGAATTCCACATCACCACTGATCTTATTTGTGCTAAGATTCCATTTGATTATGAGGTCGAGGATCACCAAGACCCTGCATATTTATCTTTTTGGAATAGTCTTTTTGGTGAGAATAGGGTAGTGAATGTATAAGAAGTGATTGATATGTTGAGGGATGATAATAATGCAGAGCCACAAGCGGTTCTCGACTTGGAAGAAGTTGAGTCTTGCTCTAATTGTGATTGTTGATGGTGTTGCTGTATGTAGCAACAAGAAAGCAGGTTGTGTTACTGGCCGTTTTATAGAGATGTTACATGATATTGAATTCTTCATGAATTACCCATGGGGACGTGTTTCTTTTGAAGCAACAATAGGGCGGTTCGGTCCTTCTCTTCTTGACAAAGATCCTATTGAAGATCTCAAGACCCGGTTTTCGCAAAGAAGCAGTTGCTGTTACGGGTTCCCACTTTCTCTCCAGCTCCAAGTCCTCAACTACATCCTTGCCCTTTGTAGTAGGATTAAAGACCCTGCTGATTTCAGAAATTTTATCCAAAGACCTACTGTTGATCTATCTCGCACCATTCTACTTCGTGAGACCGATGTCCTGGATGTAGAATATAATCCGAATGTAAGTCAGATTTTCACTTTTAAACTCCCATATATGTTTCAGTCTATAATATCCAACTCATCTGTTGTCTCTTAAATGCCATTATGGCATTCATTATCTTTTGTAGTTGTTAGTGGAATACACTCTCTACCATTCTGAATAGTTGAATGAATATCTATCTTGGCCTGATGAAGTTGTTGATCCTGGAGTCTGATATATCACGAATTTTACCAACTTTAGCCATGATATATGCGTCAGTTTTAGAGTCTTTTTGTTGTTTCTAGTGTCTTTTCGAGTCTTTTCAGGTTTTTCCACGTTCGGAACAAATTTAGAGATAAGGAACCATTATGAAGCTAAACCGGAGATTAAGAGCTGAAAGAACGAAATCGGTATCAGACCAAGGCATCAACAAAAGTCTCGACGGTTTAAGAGTTTTAAAGCCCGAAGAATCAACCCAAAAGACTTCTCTATTTCCAACTTTAGTCCCTGCACGTTTTTGGAGACATTATATATAGTTTTTAAGGTTTTTATTATTGATTATCTTGCATCTTGCTTTTAGCTTTGTAATTTTCTGAGCTTGAACCCTTAGGAATATAATTAGAGAGAGCTACTTTCAGAGATTTAAAAATCCTTGTAGAGAGAAGATTTATTCTAAACTCTATTCTTCTTTTGATTTTTTGTTTTGCAATCTATTCAAACATGTTTTCTGTTTCATTAATTATGTCTGAGTAATTTCCTGTTAGGTTTAGGGATTCTCATTACGGATTTAGATGAAGTAGTAAATCGATTATCTGTTAGAATTAAACTTTAGAGTTCTTCTCCTTAGGTTGTTCTTAATGCTAGTTCTAGAGTAGATAACTAGAATTTGAACATAGGATAATAGGTAGATTCGAGAGGTCATATATTACTAGAACTATCTTCGGTGGGCAGAGATTACTAGATATATTCGAGAGGTGGTCTAGGAATATTTGTGAACATATCAAACCTGCTTTCTAATGCTATCCTAAATCTAGGAGTTTACATTCGAGAGGTGGAACTACTTGATATTTGATTAGTTAGTCAATACATTCGATAGGAGTTTTCTTCTGCACTTTCGTCTTCTTCCAGAAAATTATCCGTTCGACAAAACTTTCGAAGAAAATTATGTAAACCAACACATGCAAGTACAATCTCTGTCTGCGTCTTATAAGGAAAAGGAGGTGCAGATTTAAAGATTAGAAATCGAGATTTAAAAATACCAAATATTCTTTCAACCACGTTCCTTAAGGATGCATGACGATGGTTAAACAACTCTTTTGCATTCGTTGGTTGTGAATTTTGACCAGAATATTCTTGTAAATGATATTTGACACCACGATACGGAGCTAAAAAGTTTCGACGATTTGGAAATCCACAATCTACTACATAAAACTTTCCTGAAATACAACAATAATTTCTTATAAAAGATACAATAATAATATAGCACTTGTCTTGTTGAAAAAACAAATTTACAATATAAAGACATGTACGTACCTTCTGGAACTGGTAGTCGATTACTGTTCCTTGTCAAAGCATCATTTAATACTTTTGAGTCATGAGCTGAACCTTCCCATCCACTAAGCACATACATGAATTCGAGATCAAAATTACAAGCAGCCAACACATTTTGCGATATATCACCTTTTTTGTTACGAAAAGAAGGCGCTTTTTTCTGTGATACCATTGCAAGGATATGTGTACCATCAATAGCTCCAAACAATCCTAAATAACAATAAAATTATATTCCATGAAAGATAATGAAAAAGCAAAGACATAATAACTATATGAAAGATATACCTTAAAATACGGATAAAACCTCGTACTTTCTCTAATTTTGGTAGGCACTGCAATCTCGGGTTTAGCCATCAAACTTGGAGCAATTTGATTAAGAGCCCGCAAAACTTTGTGAAAGTTCACGCTTGTTGCAAACGTTGACCTATTAAAAGTGTCTTTTGTATGACAATACCTTGAATTTTGACCGACTACTAGAAGAAAAGTTGCAACCATTTCTTCAACACTAATATATTTTGTATCGCATAAACTTGTCTGCTCCCGGAGTTCTTTACATAACTTAAGAAATATTTGTGGATACATTCGATACAACTGTCGAAAATGCATAGGGTTTTGCTTTCTAGAATTTTAGAATTTTTCTTCTAGTCTCATTTGGTTTTCGAAAGCTTCACTTTGTTTTCTAGTATTGTTGGTTTTTATTATATGATGGTGTTTCATGATCTTTGTATTAGCAGTTTTTTTCATGATTGATATGCTTGAAGGTATTATTCTCTTTGTTGTTCAAAACATTGCTATACAACAAGCAACCGCACGAGAAAGTGTTATACAACAAGCGACAATACGTTTTTTAACCGGATGGGATTAAAATATGATAAAATATTGTTTTCTTCTAAATCCACCCAAATAACTAGGTGGAACCTAAGGATTTCAATCACTCTATTTATAAGTAAAACATATATTCAATTCCATTCAAATCTAATATGAAGTCAAATCCATACTCAAATCTTCAATATTGAATAAGGGGTGATTTTAAAAAGTATTTGTAAATCATAGAACCAATAACACATGATTTTTATAAAAAAATTAAAATCAATGATTGAATAACACATGATTTTACTTGGATTTCCAAATCCATTCAAATCAATGATCCAATAACCCCCCTAATTAACAGTCCATGTTAACTCTGTTTAAAACACTAAACAGTCGTTAATGGCCTGTTTTTGCCGTTAATCTACTATATATTTTTGCAACACTTTTAAGGGATCCTAATCGGGTCAAATTTTTTTTAATTTTTGGAAATTTAATGTTTTTGACCCGGAAATATGTCAATCGGATCCTACCTTATTTGTGATTTTGACCCGAATTTTTTGAATCGGATCCTTCCTTAATTGAAACTCTCTACATCAAATCGATTTTAACTTTATTATTCCTACAAAAAAGGAAAACGAAATTAATAGATAGAATTTTGAAAGATATCAATCGTAAATATATTTATAACTAACAAACCAATCTTTGACAATCAAATTGTTTCCTATTATAATGCTAAAGATATTGATGCAAATCACATATGTTTCCTAAATAAAATGTAAATAAAGATTTTTGGAACTAATTCCATAACAAATTTACTAATTATTTATTTACTTTTCTAATTCTAGCCAATTATGATTAAGTTGAAGAGATTTTGCTTGCTCACAAAGATTTTTTGCAAATGTATCACAGCTAAACTTAATCATATATGTCCTCTATATATACCCATTTCATTTCCAGAGAAACACAACACTTTTAAACACGACAAAAAATTAGCTCAAAGACCTTCAATTCTTTTCATCCTAAATTACCTCTTTTTCATTTTCCATTCATATTGTTCTTCATGACATCAACAAAGATTTGATTGGCGATTCCATCTCAGATCCTTAGAATCTGAAAGAAAAAAGGAATTCAAAGAAAAACTATAGAATTAGTTTTAGCGGATGAAAAGGTGGTTCAATAATCTCTACATAATTTTTGTCTATCATCTCTATATGGATATTTTTTACTTATAGAATTAGTTTTGTTTTTCTGAATGGTTTCTTATATTGGTGATACATGGCATTGCGTTTTAATTTCTATTTTGTATATTTGAATTATCAAGTTGATAAGATTGCATCAACCTATAAACAATGTTAAACCAATGATAACTTTCTCATGCAATTAGGTTTTCTCAAGTTTCATTGAATTTATAGTCTCACACACTCCTATCACTTTCATTAATAAAATATATAAAAAATCACAGTTAAGTATGTAAAAATGTTTCTACTTGCAGGTCTAACAGAACATAACCATTGCAACTATCATGTTCAGTTAATCTCAATTATTAGAAGTCATATTTGAATCAGCTCAACACGTATATAATAAAGTTCACTCATATGACATACATACACTGCATTGGACGACAAAATACCAAAACAATATTCCGCTAAAAACCAAAATAATACTAATCCACGATCCTTCTAACTTACCTAGCAAGTTGCAAGATTACACTCACTTACTAATCAAATTAAATGGCATCATTATATATGAAAATAATAAATAATAGGAGACTCGACAAAGAAAGAAAGTGAGCATACTTGGCTGCAATCGAATCCATTGTGCAAGTGAAGGGTTTGTTATCCTCTCCCAATTCAGCAATCACAAGTTGACACAAGTATGGACCAAATCTGAAATGAAGAAGTTGGAACTTAGTAGTGGCATAGCCACACAAATCATAAGAAATCAGTTTGATTAAGAGGTAACTAGAAACTAACTACAAATGGGAGAAGACGACATTTCACCAACCTTTTCTCATAAAGAATGGCAGATACAAGACTAGCGAAAGTTTCTGGCTTTATGTCTCTTTCTTCCCTAAGCTGATATAATTATGACGAAATACGAGTCGTTGGTACCTTCAGTCCCAAAGACAAATAAAAAACAAAGCCCTAAATTTTGTAATTCACCTAAAATTCTCTGAGGAAATGAGTAAACATATGAACATGGAATAGTCACGAGATCTTACAATGTTTGGACATCAGTAGCGAGACCGGAATGTCCGATGAAGAGTTAATCGTGGATCTTATAGATTCACAAATAATCGGTAGCGATGGTTTGTAATTGCACACCATGCCTCTGATCACTGGCAATAGCGAAGCAGTTTTTCCCTTCCATAGCGTCGACGGCACTTTCATTGTACTCGAAGATCTGAATCACCACAATGTCCATCGATTCATCGTTCAAATCATACTATCAATTATTGCGCAGAACAAACAAAATTTCGAAATTGAAGAAGAATCGGGAAGGAACACCGACATCGGAAAATTAGGGTTTAGGGAGTGAAGCTTTGGGAGTTTTTCTATTTGCTAATCAAAGGTATAATCTGTTGATTGATGTGTTTTGTGTTTACAAACCGTCTTTGGTGTATCGAAGAAGGAGAAGAAGAAATCATTGTGGGCTGGGCGTTTGTTCATTGGGCATGTGTTCAAAAAAGGCCCATCAAGATGTTCAAGTGTGTTTTGCTTTATCGATGTTTAATTTGAGGTCCAAGCTAAATGGAATTCCAAGCTAAATAATAACTTTTTAGATTCTCAGGTCAAAGAGAAAAAGTGAAACATATAAATATTTGTCTCTGTAACATTAAGGGGGTGTTATTGGATGGGGGTTTTTAATGGATTTTGAAATCTGCTGTTATTGGATTAGTATTTGCAAAATTACGTTAAAAATCTGCTGTTATTAGATTAGTATTTGTTTGATGTATTCTAAAATGAATTAAAAACAACTGTTATTGAATATTCATTTGATTTGTTTCATTTTGGATTTGAATGGACTTTTACTCATAAAACATGAACAAAAACAATCCGAGCATTTTATCAAGTATTTCATCTCTCTCCCTCTCTCCCTCTCTCTCTCTCCGAAAACTGGTATCCACTAACAAAAAATTATAACCTATTACCTAGTGTTTTCTTTTGCGATTCTCTCAGTTATTTTGCAATACACATACTTTAAGTTATTTTTTACAAAACATCAACAACTTTGGGTTCTTCATCTTCCACGGCGGCGCTCTCCAGACTCTAGCCCACCCAACCTTGGGTTCTTCAACCTAGTTATTATATATTTT